TGAATTGTCAGGTCATCAAGGCTATATCGTCATCTTCCATTGCTGCAGAACTTTCACTTTCTGAGTTATTTGGTTTTAGAGCCACCATTGGCTCCTTCTGCTTCTCTACTACATCATTTTGCCTTTGATTCACTCCTTACTAATAAAATATGAGTGACCCAAGAAAATTGTCAATTAAATAAATGTTTAAATTTTTGGACTCATTAATTATAATGATTTTAGCATCATAAGAACTTGGTAAATATCTCAAAACATTATTATATTTTTCAGATTTAGAAATCTCTCTACCTAGTGCATGCAAGCATGACACTATCTGGGTGTACCTAGAGTATATGTCAGATATAATTTCTCTAGGTTTCATGCCGAAGAGTTTGTAATCTTGTAATAAAATATTTAATATAGACTGTTTAACATCACTAGTTCCTTCGTACATGATACACAGTCTATCCCATATCTTCTTACCAGTATCATAGGTGGACACTCTCATGTAGTTTTCTAATTTTAATACAAAAAAGAAACAATTCAAGCATTCTGCATTTTATTGCATTAGATCCATATCCATATTGCTCCATTCACTAAATGCTATTTGAGTTTTACTATCATTCAAAAGTTTTAAAGGTGCAGTATAACCTTCTTATACCAACATTCACATGCGATAGTCTGTAGTATGTAAAAATATAGACATTCGAATATTACAAAAATTAAACGATATATTGTCAAACAAGGGTGAATGAGTTATAGAATAACCCTCCGTAGTATTACAGTTACCATAATGTGTCATGATCTATTTTTTCAAGGTTTTCTAAAACATAATTTTTGAAACCTCGCTCTAATATCAATTGAAAGTATAAGATGCGTCAAGAGGTAGGGGTGAATTGATATTTTTTGAAATAAAGAATTAAGCCTAAATAAGAGTTTTAATTTTTTTGTAATTTTTTAAAAATAACATAACTAATTTAAAGTGGAAGCTAGTGATTAAAAATGATTGCAATAGTGGTGATGAAATTTTAAATCACACAATAAAGTACCAAAATCAAATTCTCACAATGCAGTTATAGCAATATTAAATGCAATAAAAATTAAAATGTTGTAAATGAAAAAAACACACTAGAAGATTTATTGTGATTCAGTCACTTGACCAACATCCACTCCTTGAATCCTCTACTCTAAGAATTGCACTGCTCAAAAGTAATTCTCATTCTACCCCTATGTTGCGGATCTATGGTTCATGATTTTGATGATAGCAAACATTTCCTTTTCTATACGATTGCCTTATGTATTAACATTTCAGGACCACACAATCAAGACTACAATTCAGAACCAGCTCAAGATTGGGTAGATTAGGTTTGTGTCAGTTTGTAATCTTTTTCCTTTCTTGAGTCAATTGTATTGGGTGTGGGACCTATTGTTATGTAACATAGAAGTTTTCATGTTGTTCCCTTTAGGATTTCTATTTTTGGTAACATCGGCCTGAACGATCGTCCTATCGGCCTGGCCGATCGGTCTAAAAACAGAAACCCTTCCCAGGTGTAGCGTAATGCCATATGCTATGTCACCCTCCCGATGATGGTAGCAAACCTTCTCATTATTATCCCTCCTGGAGAAGGCAGAGGACCTTTGAGGATGTTGACCTTGATGGCTCTCCCCCCAGAGAGCTCCCATAAGATTTACTCGGGTCATAGAAGGAGCAAGCGTGCAACAGACTTGGAGCAACCGCGTGATCTCCTTACAATGCTCCCTCACAAACTCACCTTCTCCTTCCTATCAAAAGCCCTAAATCCCTTCAAAAAGATCCCTCTCAAGAGTTCACTTTCTTTGTAACATTCCTCTCTCTTACTTCAAAAGACAAAATCATTACTTAAATTTCAGGCTCCAAGAAACCCTAAGATTTTCAATTTAGTAATTTTTGTTCATACAATAAGATCATAGATCGTACACTACAATAAATTTAAAATAGGTTTCATACTGTTATGAAGGAGTACGAAAAAGTAATAATTCTCACATACATCTTGCAATACGATACAAATATCATCCAGAGTGATATACTATATTACTTTTATTCATACAGGACGAACATTGGGACAACCAAAATTCATCTTTGTTCATCGTCTGATACGATCCAACTCGAATAGTATGATTATTTAAAATATTCAGGTCATCTGGTACGATGTATATATCATCAAGTATGATTAGTTAAAAAAATTAAGGATCCGTCCGGTACAATCTTCGGGACGACAAAAAATTGCCTCAGTTTATCGTACAATATGAATCAGATCGTACAGTATAATCACCAATCATTAATTAAGTCTTCATTTAATTGACTAATTATGGGGGTTAATTTTAGCAAGTATTCAAATATTTTGTATGGTACGATGGGATCGTATAGTATGATCAATTCAAAATTCAACGATTTAAAAACTTGCTTAAATTAATCTGGCAGCTAGGGTTTCGTATTGAAAATGAATCGTACAGTATGATGGTGATTGTATAGTATGACTAGTTCACAAAAGATAGCTGTTGAGCCACAGTGTTTCGTACATTATGATTTAAAATTGTACAATACAATCTACAAAAAAATATATATTTTTTCCTTTAAAAAAAAACTCTCTCCCTTTGTGTGTGCATGATTACTCAGTTTGCATACACTTTTTATGGTTAGACTCAAGAAACAAAGAAAAAATAAAAAAAATATAAAGTTACAGACTCCACATCCTATTCTACCAAATCTCGAGTCTTTTGTTGTCTTGAGCAGAATGAGATCTCCCTGAAATATTAATAATCACAAATAATAGTAACATTCAAAATATTCAATGAAGAATAAGATAATTCAATCAACATTATTTGTCATTATCAAAATCTTAGACTTGGGGTCATAAACTGCAATAGAAATTAGGCGACGTTTGGTGGTCGGGCGAAAATCCGGTTTCTATTGATGATCGAATAGAAATCCACATCAATCAGGTGTTGGCCATAACTCCGGCATCAGTCGGTTGCAAGGTGAAAGTCCGGTGGTGGTCAAGTAGTCTGGTGGCAAGAGAGCTCTCTTCCTTCTATTATTTCTTCATTGATTCCTTCTTTTCTCTTCATGTTTGGGTCTCCTCTCATGAGAAATGAGGGGTCTATTTATAATTTCCTAAGAGTAGCATAGTTAATAAATAGGTGAAAAATAAAGGGTAAGTTGGAAGTGGTTTGAATGGACGATCGATGTTGAATCCCTTAATTGTGGACCATTTATAAGGCATTTAAATGTCTTAACGATATCAAAATTTGACGATCTTATGCTCGTTGGATTCGTCTCGTTGAGTAGCTTGATTCGACTCTAAGCATGTCACGTTTGGAAACTGTTTGGTAATTCAAATTATAGATTGAACCATCCAAATGTACTTCGGGTCTTTGATTTGGTCTCATTTGGGCTCGGATTGAGTCAAATTTGGTGTCGTTGGGTTCGTATTTTTGAGACGTTCAGTTCTACTATAAAATTGTTGAAATTGGAGTTAAGATGATCTTCGATTTAATTTTTGAAGTTTCCAACTTGATTTTGCTTTGAGATTCGTGTCATATATATATATATATATATATAATTAAAACGTGTTATCGAGTCGATTTGATGTTTAATTTTTTGACTCGATTATTTAATGGATTGAGTTTCAGTTGATCAGATCTGAGTTTTGTCAATTTCAAGTCGGGCCTGAACCCAACTTGTTGATCCATTTTAACACTTCTAAAGATTGCATTTGCACCTATTAACTTGAAAATGAAATACTTATATTATGCAAATTTATTATTATTTCGTAGTGCTTGAAAAATTAGATATATTTAATCCTAAAAAATTATAATATTTTTGATACATTTAGGCTAATTAAGATAAATTCATACACACATCACATAAATGAGATTCAAATCTAAATTGATAGTCAATACTTTCAACTAATTAAAAAATCATAAATTAAAGTAATATATATTTTTATAATTTATCGCATGATAACAAAAAAAGGGGTTTTTACATACATACCACTTAAAACTATTAAAATTACATATCTAACATCTAAAGTATACTATTTACTTTTCTACCACCTAAATACTATTCATCTCACCTAAAATACCACTCTGTCAGCTCCCATCAAAATCCCACCCCGACCTTCATTTCGCCAACCCCACCCAGACTTTCATTTAACGAAACATTGTCGGAGACAGTGAAGGTGTTTTTTGGTATACCGATGGCTATTCAGGGAGACCGGGAAGAGGTCATCTAGAAGTAGTAGGAAGAAGAGAAGCAGGAAAGTGGCTTCGGATTACAGTGATAATTCTTATTCTGTGTCAAGTCCTAGAGCCAGGAAGAGGACCTCAAAGAAGAAAAAAAATAAGCAGTCTAAATCGGTGAACTTGTCTGAATCAGAGCCTGATGTCAGATCTGCTGACGCTAATAAACCTGAGATTGATCCTGAAGCCGTAAAATTCATGGAGATGATTGAATTGTAGAAGAAACAGGCTTTGGATGGTGAGCTTCTTGTAGGACCTATGCCTCTTCCACGTGCAGAAGGCCACATAAGCTATGGTGGGGCTCTGAGGCCAGGAGAAGAAGATGCCATAGCACAATATGTACAGCAAGGCAAGCGTATTCCAAGGAGAGGAGAGGTCGGTCTTTCTGCTGAGGAGATTCAAAAATTTGAGGACTTAGGCAATGTGATGAGTGGAAGTAGGCAAGGAGAAGCCATCAACGATGTAGGGAAGAACATTAGCAGAGAAAATCGATGATGGATTCCATTCGGAGAAGCCAGATTGAGAGGAGCGAACGAAGGTCGGGGTGGGGTTTGACGGCAGTTGACGGAGTGGTATTTTAGGGGAGATGAATGGTATTTAGGTGGTAGAAAAGTAAATAGTATACTTTAGGTGTTAGCTTTGTAATTATAATAGTTTTAGGTGTTATGTATGTAAAAATCCAAAAAAAAAAAACATCTTGTGCTCTACGGTTAAAAGTTGACCCCTCCTTTTTATTCCCAGAAAGAACAAAGAATTTCTTAACAGAACTCATCCATGGCAGCCGATACGCCTGCTCCTTCATCCCCATGCCGAAACCCTAACTATAATCCCGATCGAAACCCGAATTCACCAAAACCCAAAGATTCTAGCCTCGATTCACTTTCGCTGGAACCCCATCTTTCTCCTTCTCAGGCACGGCCGAACGAGGAGGATATGCTGGATGAGACATCGCAGCCTTCATCCTTAGTCACCGCGCCGACTGCGGTGCTTCCTTCCCCGTTATCTCCCTCTTCTCCAATTGTGGCGGTAACATCCCCGGCGCCGGTGGCTGTGCCTACAGCTCCAGCCTCTGTTGATACGGCCAAGGTGGGAATTCCAACGCTGCTCCACCTCTCATTCAACCAGGACTATGGATGTTTCACCGCTGGTACCGACCGTGGTTTTCGAATCTATAATTGCGATCCCTTCCGCGAGATCTTCCGCCGCGACTTCGACGACGGTGGCATCGGCGTCGTTGAGATGCTGTTCAGGTGCAACATACTTGCCCTTGTCGGTGGCGGTCGGCAGCCCTATTACCAACCGAACAAAGTGATGATTTGGGACGACCATCAAAGCCGCTGCATCGGCGAGCTCTCTTTTCGATCGGAGGTTCGCGCCGTCCGGCTGCGGCGGGATCGCATCGTAGTTGTGCTTGACCACAAGATCTTCGTCTACAATTTCGCTGATCTCAAGCTTGTTCATCAAATCGAGACAGTGCCAAACCCTAAGGGTCTTTGTGCCGTTTCTCAGCAGCAGGGGTCGTTGGTGCTCGTGTGCCCAGGGGGGCAGAAAGGGCAGGTGAGAGTGGAGCACTATGGGTCGAAGAAGACCAAGTTCATCGTGGCGCATGATTCTAGGATTGCATGCTTTGCACTCTCACAGGATGGGCGGTTGATCGCCACAGCCAGCACCAAAGGAACACTGGTTAGGATTTTCAGCACCATGGATGGAACACTCCTTCAAGAGGTAGTATTTTTCCTTTGGCTTTTTATTTATGTGCTGATTGCTATAGTTGTGGCAACTTTTTTTTTAGGTGGTGGGTACGGGTGTTTTGTTTGAGATTGATGAACTTGGTGCCTGGAATGTTTTTACTTAATTAAAGGATAGGGGACTGTTGCCATACTTGTTTTGCAGGATTTATAAATTCAACTTCAAAAAATTAGGATAAGACCAGTGGCAATTATGATATTGAGTGAACCAAATTGTTTGAAGCAATGTTGATAATAAAAGGAAAATGTTTGACACTGAGACATGCCAGAAGTTATTGTATATTTTTAATGCTGCACATTATTATGTAATATGAAAGTTAATATTAGATTTATTCAGAGTAACATAAGGTTAAAAATTCAAAGATATTGTGGACTGGGATGAGGATTGGAGTGAAGAAGATTTGAAAGACTTTTGAGTGCCTATGGTTAGTGATATGGTGATTGCTATAAAATTAATTATTGATTAGTTCATTACTAATGTGATTAGTTCTTATACTCAAGTTGTATTTGAAGGAAAAAAAATAGATGAACTAGTATGAAGTTTACTTAAGAAATAGAATAATTGTTCATGTGACTTAATTAGTATGTTTGTTCTACTGTCTTTGGAGGTTGTGTGCGGCATGATTCATGGTAGGTATGAGATATGAGATATGAGATAATAATGTCATATGAAAAGCTATACCTCAACCCTTACTAGCATATTATCTTGTAAATCATATACTCTAGGAAATGAGATGGGTATTATGTTACTTTTAAAAGTGAAGCTAAAATATTGTATGTACATTTTTTTAATCAAAAAGAAAAATATTTTTGCAGAGATTGCTAGAAGATTACCGGAGTGTTTGATCATATAATAAATATTAGTAGCTAGGGATCTAAATCTTATAAGCATAAAAAAGTAATCAAAAGAAATTGTTGTTCTAGAATATGATGATGGACCGTTTTGAGTGAGAACTTATCCATTTTCCTAGATAAGATATTATTATTCAAGTTGGAACTATAAAGTTGAACCAGGTTTGAAGTGAGGTAAGATGGCTATTTGCATTGTAAAAATGCCCATTGAGTTTCTTGAATAGTCTAGAAAAAGATTTTAAATAAGTACTGGAAATTGGTGGTGGAGTGCGAAGGTATCAAGGTTATTAAGAAAAACAGTGCTTTGATGAATGACAAATAGTGAAAACTATTCAGGTAATCATTATAAGGCTGCAAAACATTTTACAATAAAGGTTGTTATTGTGCAGAATTTATAGTTTTTAATCTCTTCGGAGACATCCGATAAAATTGGAACGATACAGAGAAGATTAACATGGCCCCTGTGCAAGGATGACACGCATAAATCGAGAAATGGTCCAAATATTTTAACACTGCCGTTGCAAGGTCCCAAGTCCTGGATGAGAAAAGTGGAGGGTTGTGTTAGGTAGTCGACAGCCAGCGTAAAACTTGTCGAACAATAATGACATGAATCCTTTAAAAAATTGTGTTAATGCTAGGGCGTCCCCTGGAAGCGACGTGCTGTATGGCCTGAATACAGTGACAAGTGTGCAAGGGCCGCTGCACCGGCGCCCGGGTACAGTGTTAAATATGCAAGGGTTCCCACATCAAGAACGGATGTGGGCAAAGAAGCTAGTCCATGAAACTAAAATTAGGATAGGAACTTGGAATATAGGTTCCCTTACAGGAAAATTAATGAAATTAATAGATATTATGATTCATAGGAAGTTAAATATTTTGTGCATTCAAGAAACTAAATGGGTTGGAGATAAGGCTAAGGAAATTGATAGTTTAGGATTTAAACTTTGGTATTCGGGTAGGAGTCGTACTAGAAATGGTGTAGGTGTTATTATAGATAAGAGTTTAAAGGATAATGTTATAAAAATTAATAGGATTGAAGATAGAATTATAGCTTTAAAGATTGTTGTTGATGATAAGATTGTTAATATTATAAGTGCTTATGCTCCTCAAGTAGGTTTGGATATGAGTTCTAAATTAAATTTTTGGAATGACTTAGAAGAATTAATACAAAATATACCTCTTGAAGAAAGAGTTTTTATTGGAGGAGATTTAAATGAACATGTTGGTAGAGAGGTAGAGGTAGTGATTTTAAAAGCATTCATAGTGGCATGGATTGGAATGACGAATGAAGATTGGCAAGCCATATTGGATTTTTTGTTTAGCTTATAATTTTTAATTGCTAATACCTTATTAAGAAAAAGGATTGAGCATCTCATCACTTATAAAAGGATATAATACAACCCAGATTAACTATTTTCTTATTAAAAAAATTAAATCGTTTAGATTGCAAAGATTGTAAAGTTATTCCGAGTGAAAATTTATGTACCCAACATCGATTATAGTTTTGGACTTAAAGATAAAGGGGCATAAAATAAAAAATAAAGTAAACAATTTTCTAAGGATTAAATGGGGGCATTTAAAGAATTTAACAAAAATATTTTGGAATTAAGATTTTAGATCTTAAGATTTTGTCTGTGATGAGAATGCTAATATTTATTGGGAAAAAGTGGCTAGTGATATTAAGAATATTGCAAAAGATGTCCTTGGAGTATTCAAAGGGAAAAGCTCCTATTAGTAAAAAATAGTTGGTGGTGGAATCCTAATGTGCAAGAAAAAATTAAAAATAAGAAGTTTGTTATAAAAATTGGTTTAATTTTAAAAATTCTGATAATTGGGAAATTATTAAAGTGGCTGTAAGGATGCTAAGAAAGCAATATGCGATGCAAAAGGCATTAGCTTTTATTGATTTATATTAAAAGATTAGATACTAAAGAGGGAGAAGATATATGTATAAGTTAGGTCCAAACAAGAGATAGGAGTAGTTAAGGATTTAATTCAAGTTGAAGTTTTATTAAAATGCAAATAAAAAAATATTTTTTCTTAGGAAGCAGATGATATTCAACAAAGATGGATGAGATATTTTTGCTAAACTTTTTAATTGAAGATTGTGAAAATAAGATTGACTATCAGTTGACTTAGCACCCTAAATGAAAATAAGATTATGTTTTTTATCAGAGCGTATTAAGTTAAACTGAAGTTAGAGAGGCTTAAAGAAATAAAGGGTGGAAAAGCTGTTGGACCTGATGATATTCCAATAGAGGTGTGGAATGCTTAGGAGATGAAGGAATTCATGGCTTACTAAACTTTTTAATACTATTTTGAAGACTAAGAAGATGCCAGATGAGTGGAGAGATGAGGTGTTAATTCTATTTTTAAGATAAAGGTGATGCACAAGATTGTGCGGATTTATAGAGGTATTAAGTTAATGTGTTCATACTTAAAATACATGGGAGCGAGTTATGGAGCATAGGCGGCGTGATACTAATGTTTCTCAAAATCAATTTGGATTCATGCCGGGTAGGTCGACTATGGAAGCCATACATTTATTAAGAGTTTGATGGAGAAAATATAGAGAAAATAAGGAGGATCTAACATATGATATTTATGATTTAGAAAAAGCATATGATAAAGTTCCAAGAGAAGTGCTTATGGAGAGTTCTTGAAAAGAAAGGAGTCAATAATGCTTATATTCAAACATTAAAGATAGTTATGCAGGAGCTATTACTTGTTTCAAAACACAGGTGGATTGAGACAAGTATTTTCTATTTCGGTTGGGTTACATCAAGGGATCAGCCTTAAGCCCATATCTTTTTGCTTTTAGTCATGGATGTTCTCACTAGACATTTGCAAGAGATGTACCTTGGTGTATGTTTTTGCTGATGATATTCTTCTTTGTGATAAGACTAGAGAGGGAGTTGAAGGTAAACTTGAATATAGAGGTCAACCTTAGAGTCTAAAGGTTTTTCGCTTGAGTAGACTCTAAAACGGAACTATATAAAGTGTAATTTTAGTAGTAATAGACCTAGTGAGGATTGTGACTGATGCGATCAAATCATTAATAAGAGTACACGTTTTAGATATCTTGGATCTGTGTTCAGAGTGATTGGCTAAAATAGATGGGGATATTATAGCAGAATTCAAGTTTGGATGTTGAAGTGGAGCTAAGCATCGGGCTTGTTATTGTGATAAGAATGTACCCCTACAACTTATGGGAAAATTCTATAAGTCTAGTGAGGCCTGCAATGCTTTATCGGTGTTGAATGTTGCCTTTAAAAGAGAAGCATAATACTAAGTTAAGTGTGCAGGATGAGGATGCTCAGGTGGATGAGTGGCTTTACCCTTAGAGATAAGGATACGAAAATGAGCATATATGTGAAAGTTGGAGTAGCTCCAGTAGAAGATAAGATTAGAGAAAGTCGCCTTAAATGGCTTGGTCACATAAAACGGCGGCCTTGCGATGACCCCGGCTAGGAGATAAGAGGTATTAGATTTGATCCTATTTTAAGAAAGTAGGGGTAGACCTAAAAAGACTGGTTGAAAATATTAGGAATGACCTTTCTTTATTAGATTTAACGAGAATTTGACTTTTAATAGGACAAATGGAGAAAAAGGATTCCTGTAGCCGACCCACGTAGTGGGATAAGGCTGATGTTGTTGTTGTTGTTGTTAATCTTTTATATGAGGTTAGGTACTAAGAAAAAGATGAATGGAATAATATTAAATCGCTAAGGAAAGAAAAAAAGATATAGTACTTTTATTTAAGTTATTTATATTAAGAGGTAATGTTATTATGTCATAGTTTCTTAGATCAAGGCATCAGCGAATGATGGAAAAATCACTATTATTGAGATATAATTACTGCTTGTGGTTTAAGGCATAATTCTTCTTAGATAATCAAATGAGCGAATTTGATAGTAATAGTAGATTGATTTAAAAAAAGTAAAGTGAGTTAATCCTTAAAGAAACATATATCGTAAAGCCTATAGGTTGTTTCACGATATACTTAGATATGAGATTTAAGCAGATGGTATAGAATGTTTCGATTCATAAAATTTTTAGTGAATATGTAAAGATTAATCGTATTTGTTGTAAAGTAACATTGCCAGTACTAATTTTAGGGGGAAA